AGCACTGGCTGTTTCAATTGACGTTTCCTTAGAAATATTAATGGATCAAAAATTTCCCACTCTCGCAGCTGAAATTCGATCTAAAAATATCAGTTTAATATTCGAACTATAATTATAAGGCGCATTAATTGAAAATATTTAAATATATTGTAAAAATATTGAAATAGTTACTATGTTTCCTTAAACCTTTCAGTCCTGACCACTGTTTTACCGGTGGTAGAGAAAAATGAATTAATGCTCAGTTACCGGTTGAACGGAGGGTAAAAACTTGCTTTTGCTATTCTTTGCATGAAGAGTGGCAACACCTGCTGGGTAGACTGATACACAAAGAAAGAATTCTGGTGATAAAGTGAAGACATACAATCATACTCTCTACTTGTTAAGTACAATGCTTATATTTTTTTAAATCTATTTTTATATCTATCGTGAAACATTACATACCAATTATTTGCAAGTTTTGACTCAAGATCTAAAACAGACGGATTAAAATTGTTCTGGAACGCTGGGCTCAAATGGCTAAGCTATTAAATAGTTGCTTAGTTAGATAGATAGATAGATAGATAGATAGATAGCTAAAGAGAACATATGTAGGTAGAAAAAGTGTCCGGTGGTTAGCTACAAAAATAAAATCATGAAATATAAGAAAGCAATTAAGATATGAAAAGCTAATGGCTTTAAATATCATAAAATCTTATTGCAACGTTAGTTATTAAATATTGATTTCTGGACAGATAATGATATACGAATATTCAAGCCAAAATTACCGTTGACATTACCAGCGGCGCCAATAATAAATATGAGTTTTATGCTCACTTGTCCTTCAATCATTTCTCGGTGATGGAATTAGTGAAATGATTTTATTTGCAGTTGGATTTAGTCTAATGATGAGTCATGATTGTAAGACAGTGAAGGGGAGAAAGGAATTGAAATGAAATGAAAGAAACACTGAAAGTAAAAATGAGAATTTAAACTAAAAAAAACTTAAGGAAGAAAGAATAAAGAGGATAGAACGTAAGGATTGAGGAATGAATTAAAGTAAATAATTTTTTAGGAAGAAATTAAAATAGAGAAATAATAAGGATGAAGTCAATGAAAGAAAAGACGATGTTTGTATTCTAACGTGTATAGCCGATATAATCTTTCGCCTTCCATAGATATAAATTGCATCCAGTAATCGGTTCGTAACGAGGTGTGCAGCATATAGAAAGAATAGGACTGAAGAAAGGAAAGATAATAAAAATTAAAATTAAACCCTATGTAAATTTTAAAAATAATTTGATATACAATTTTCGTATCTTTATTTTAGATTATGTTTAGCTTCGTTACATTAGAGTTAATCACAAATATTATAACATATTTGTCCTCATACAGCGTATGCAAAATGGTGGAAAGAAGACTATATATGACAAAGTTGCCTGAAATTCAATGTGACGGTCATGAAAGAGTCGTTTCGGAAGAGTCGCTTTCGGGTGTGAATTCCCAAATATATGAGACAATATCCTTAATTCAATGCCAGAAAAAAAGACCAAAAACTATCAAAATTAAAATGATCAAAATAAACATAATAATGGAATGTACTCTATTGTAAAGCAAAATATTTAAAACTAGAATATGATTGTTTTGAATATTTGAAATGTATTTTGTTTTTATGGACATATTCATCTATTACCTTCATCAATCTTGTCTTCATCACAAGACGTCAGACGATACGTTCGGGTTTATAATTAAGCTTATTTAACTCTTGCCGAGTGTCAGATTTTGATACGAAGACAGCGGCGTAGCTAGTGTTTTTGGCGCCCCTCCCCAGAAGGTAGACAATATTACAATGCACATTAACCCCATAAATTTTATATATATATATATATATATATTTGGGTTGCGCTCTCTGGGGAAGGAAGTGTGGGTTTGTAAACAGTGACTATTACGGCTGATATAGCAAGACTGTTCGGAAAAGCGAATCGAGTCCTGTCGGTTAGTGTGTGTTTATCTAAAAATAAATACGCTTAAATTTACCTCTATCGGCTGAGGGGTAGAATCTCCAACTGACGTCAATTCAGTCGGGTTTCGATCCTAGCTAGAGGCAAGCGAACGTCTAACACATTGAATACCTGAGATGCAGCGAAACAGTCTGTCTGCGAATGACATTCTATAATTATATGTATGCATATGTATATTTATCTACTTATAGATATTTAATTATATATATTTATCTAATTAATTGTATACATACGCATATATATATTTATCTAATTTCGACCATGACTCTCACACCTTCAATGTCACCTTATATCAGCTTAATACTACCATTTTAAATTCATTTTTTTCATGCTCCAAAGTGAAGTCCGAAGTTCCAGAGAAAAATAAAAACTCTGGTGAAGTAAATTATAACAACGGAACCTTAAAGTGGTCTGTTTTTTCATCATATATATATATATATATATATATATATATATATATATATATATATATATATATATATATATAAATATATAATCAACGATGGAATTATTCGTACACCCAACGATTTTTAATATTTTATCCATTTCTCAGAATCTAATGGCCGTATGGTGTAAGTTTTTTTCCATGTTGCTGTTGCCGTGGTATTTGTAACTCTTCGCAATTTTTTATGAAATAAAATTACAATTGTGTGTGTGTGTTTTTTTTTAATAAACCTGGGGATATGTAAAATAAAAAAACAAAAACAAAGACGTTACTTCTTTTTTTCTAAATCGGAAAATCTTTAAAAAATTTTACATATATTAATTTTCAATTTCTTTTATATTTCCGTTCGATATTTCCGAAAAGAATTAGAATGCATGTAATATCCTTCAAGCATTGGAATTATTTCAAATTATTTATCTATCTATTAATTTATGAAAACTAACGATTATATATCCGTATTAAAGCTAGGCCAATGATGAGATAAAAAAAGAAAAAACTATTGGTTCACTTATTTATTTATTTTTTCACTAACTGTTCCCAGACATGAGAAATCAAAATGCAAGAACTGAGGCCTAAATCCGGACTTCTCACATAGGTGTGAAAAATCTGTGGATTCATTAAATTCACTTAATCCAACCCCATATCAAGTCCTTTAAAAATGTTCAAAATTTTGTCACCCCTTTTGCTTACGTCTTGTAAATAGGGGGTTTATCCACAACAGCCGAGAATGCGTTTTGGAGACAATCATTTTTTTTTATTGCTCGCTAGCTGGATTTGAGCCAGTTATATCAAAGACAAATTGGCTTCACTTGAACCCTATCTTCTTGTTGCTTATATTTGCAAAAAATATTGAAATTATGCTATTGTTTTTTGTTTTTTTTTTTGTTTTTCATTTCTGAAATCTCACCACAGATCTAAAATGAGGCCCGGGTGGGACCGCCCCCTCCGTGCCCCTAACTACGCCACAGTACGAAGATACGTCTGCGCTACTCTTTCAAGTGATGAATAAATTGCCTCCACTGACGTATGTCTCATGACACAGTTTTTGTAAAGAATCATGTTGACAAAAATATGCAGCAGAAGAAATTGCATAGGATGCAATAAAATAAATCAATGAAAATACAGAGCTAAATAAATAAATAAACATAGACTCAAAGAAATCAGTTTAAAAGGGTAAAGCGAAATAAATCGATATAAGAAGAAAAAAAATGTCAATTTATAAACCTGGCTAGAATAAAATAAAGCAGTCTGCAAACATGATGTAACCTGGCATGGCCACAAATTAAAGCAAGATTTAATGCATGCAATAAAAGTTAAAGAATTCAAATTATTGATATATTTCTCTAAGAATTCTAAATATGCAAAAAGTGTGTGTGAGGTTGTAAAATATCAAAAGATTTTATGCCTAATCTATGAAAGTGAATGGATATAAGATAAAGAAAATGAAGACTATGTCTCCTAAGAAATGAATGAATGAAACATAGTAAAGAATGAATAAAATAAGACAAAATTAAATGAAAGAGTATATGAAAGATTGAAAGAAAGTATGTATGAAACTAAAATTCAGAAACAGTAAAAAAGAAAGAAGCAAAAATATAATCCAAATGAAAGACAGGTGAATGAATTATACTGATAAAAATATAGATGTTCTAATGTTTAAAAGAGAAATTTCTGTATTACTAAAAATTATCTGTGAGTAAAATTGAAGCGTGGAGCCTTGTTCAAGTTCCAGCTTAATCTGTTGCGCACACTTTCGCATTAATGCTCCTCCAAGGGACATGAATAGAATTCATGCCTTTTCTCTTCCGCTGCAGGGTAAATAGCAGCGTCTGCCTGACAATCCTTCTAAACTAAAAAAAAAATCATCTTGGAAAAGGCAACCGAACCATCTTCAATGTTTCTCACAAGACGACATGTTCATTCACTGAAAATAAAGAACACTATTTGCGAGTTGGATATGTTTGCCAAAGTCAAGAATGATATTAAAATCATTAAGAGAATGTTGGAAATATGCAAAACTATTAATATCAAGGTTAAATTAAATGTTAAAAATTAATGGAAATTCTACAAGGAAGTAATGTCTTCATTCAACCAAGACAGAACAATATATCGGTCGAAACGCTTTGATAAAATCAAGAATTTTACTCGCCTGAAGAATCTATGAACAATAAAGATATTTAATCTCAGGAATATCAAACCGTTCTTTTTACATAAATTATTGTATTTTCATCAGAAATAATATTAAAACCCAACAATAAGAAAATGAAATAAGAGTAGAATAACATGAAAATGAATGAATAAGAAACAGGGAAATAAATACATAACTGAACGCCTCAATGAAATAATAAAAGGAGAAATAGTTGGATAAAAAATAAACAAATATAGTCAAGAAAATAAAATCAGCAAAGAAGAAACGGTTATTTCTAATGTGGTACAAGGCCGAAAGTATGGGGCATCAAGTGAGGATCGAACTCACTTTTCAGTTGTAACTGATCTAGCAAGACAAACTTGCTAAAACTTACATCATGCTGAGGTGAACGCGATAGTAGAGGTTTATTTACAGCACCAAGTCTTCCCAAAAGGTCCCCCTCTAAGTACTAAACTAGCTCTACGATGCTTAGCTTCGGCGATCGAACGAGAACCGGTGTGTTTATCGTGATTTGACCGTAAACGAGTTCAGAAAAACATATTTAATTTCTACAGGCTTTCTTAGAAGAAAGCATTAATTTAGACCTACATTTGTTTTAACATTCATAATTTAGATCGAATCTAACGTTTGCCATTCATAGGTTTTAAAATACTGTTGTTTAATTACTTTTTTTAAATTTTTGACGAGAAAATTTTCTAAAAGCTCAACTCGCCAGCCTTGACATTTGAGGAGCGCCTCGTGGACTACCAGAGATTCATTTTCCCGCCCTCGCTGCTTTTATGTGACATGTCATTTCCTCTATTTCTTGCCGTCGGTATCATCTGACATTACTAATTCATTATTTTGTATTTTGTCCTCTAAAATGTTTAAAACAATGTTAGCTTTAATCACTATTTACGCATACTTTTCTTATCTGCAATATATCTGATTAGTTTTAAATGTAGCGAAAGAATCATATTTTTAAACAAAAATATTATTATAATATATATATATATATATATATATATATATATATATATATATATATATATATTAATACTTCCACGTTACTCGTATGTTCTGTCTATAGTATTCTATTCATCGGTTGAAACACTTCTAAAACCTCCATCAGTGAGCAATAAGAGATTATAAGTTTTATAAAAAGTTGAACGGTTGTGTATTTATTTCTAGTGAGATTTTCTTTTTTTTAATGCAATTTGATAAGCAAACTTTCCATCTTCTTATGTTAAATTTGAGTATGTCCCTGTGTGACGTCGTCCCCCGGTCGCAGCGTCGACTGTGTCGTTCGATCCCGCTCGCGGCGCCAATTGTGACGTCACGTGCTCCCCATGCTCTGATATCAGCACCAGTTGTGACGTCTTTTGTCGCGGCGTCAGCTGTTCGCTCCTCGCTGCTCCAAACGTGACGTTCTAACCCTTTGGTTAGATTGACACCAGCCTCGTCGTTCCCAACCTGCTTCCAACGCCTGGTTACCAGGGTAACTGCACTGATCTCCGGTCTGCCTACCCACGTTGTGACTTGATCTTAGACAGACGAGATCAAACAGGGCTTGGGGCCGTAATGCAAGTTGAGTCTAACGGGGGTGATAACACACAATTATGTATAATAAAAAGAAATAAAATAACAACTCACAAGGTCCAACGTATCAAGAAAAAGGTAACAAACTTTTTATGTCTATTTGCTCGGTACATAGGACTATGTCTACCTTCCGACCCGTTCTGTGGATTGTGGCTGCGCTTTTACTAGGCAACTTTAAGGCTTCCAGTTGTCTGCTCTCTTAGAAATTTGCGTTTCGGTGTGTCTTTGGACGAAAGTCGAAAAAAACTTATTTCTTGTGGTCTGATTCTAAGTCGCTCTTCAAACTACTTGTTCTTGGTTGAAGAAGAGTCTCGAAGTGTGCGTGAATCTTGGTTAGCTATCTTGATGCGGTTTCAACACTGGGCGCTGATCTCTGCCTGTCGTTCACGGCTGATCTCTCTCGCCGTCCGCGGCGCAAACTCTCCTCTTCAGAATCTGAATTATTGGTCACTCATCTCTGCCGTCAGTGTGCGAATTAACTTCTTCTCTTCAGCTTGCTCTGATTCCAACTTCTCCACTTAGGCCAAACGGGCTGCTTCACTTCGGCTTCTCTTGCCCGCAAGGGGGCGAATGAACCGGGCCCGCCCTCCGCGCTCAAACTCCCTCGCCGTCCGCGGCGCAACTCTATCTCGCCGTCCGCGGCGCAAAACTGTTTTCTGTCGGTTGGGGTCCCGCTTTTATTGACGCAGTCAAAAACTGGGTCTGTCGGCGCCAGGGTTTTCTTGATAATTCTAAATACGTATCCACCCTTCTTATTTCTGGTTAGGGATTTTCCATTTTCGGTAATTCACTTTCACTCCTACTTCCTTATTGTGTCTCTGAGGGCGTATACCCGCTTCCCCGCTTCTTCTTATCGGCTCCTTACACTTACACTCCTGACAGGGGCGTCGACCGATTCTCCTCGTGCGTCACGTGGCCGCTCTCGGCCAATGAGGTCCTGGTCGGGTATTTTTTCCTCCTCCTTCGTGCGCCACGTGATCCCATCTAGCCAATGGCGTCTTTAGTCGGGCGTGGACAATCCGTGGCTTTGTTCTGGGGAAGAAACACCTTGCTTAAAAAAAAAAAATTCAAATTGCCCTTTTTTGTACGTGACCGAAATGACGCTCGGTTTTTTTTACGCGGTATTTGTCAAACAGTTTATCGCTAATTGGATACGATCTAAGAAAGGGATTTCCCAGACTGGTTGGCGTTTTCGTGAACGAATGAAAATATTTCACCTTTTCCTTCGCTCGAAGCTTGATAACAAATATTTTAATTATCTCAAAAAAACATTTTCATCCAACATCATCTTGTGTGGCTTTATTTTCAATTCTGGAATTGTCTGTGCTGTTCGTATTAAGGGTTTGTCTTCATATCCTTAGATAAACTTCCCACCTGTTACCTATCATATTTTTTTCCATTGTCTCTAAATTTTATTTCTTCAACCAAATTGATAACAAACCTTATTTTTCGTGGACACGGAAGTAGGTCAGGTGCTTGACCGGGATACCTTCCAACATCTGTTTTGTATCAATCGAGTGTGTGTGTGTTCGCTTATGACCTGGTTTTCGTATTATATTTTTTTCTTTCTTTTTCTTCTTCTTCTCTTTCTTTCTCCCAGATCGCTTGAACGCAATTAAAGAATTATTCTCAAAACCCAAATATTTTTCAGCTCTAAATAATTATTAAATGTTTGACAAACCGTAAAAAACAAATCATATATTTATGAATATTTCTTTTCAGCCTGCCAACTTATGCATGGTGCCACACTGATTATGGCGTCTCCAATAAGTGACGCATATTTTCTTACCACTTATACTGAAATCATGCATTCTGCACTGTTAATATAAAAGTGTGCAATAGAATTATAGATATTTAATTGCGTACAAGATATAAATTCAAAATCACATGCTTCATAGTCGATATTCATGCTTATTTTTTTTTAAATTAGTTAAGATATAAATCCTAATTTTAATGCTTAATATAATTCGGTACTGATTTTCAGTCTTTTTTTCCAATTCACCACAATATTCTTTCTACGCAGTAACTTGAAATATAGAAGAATATTGCGCTTACCATATGGGAATGTAAAAAAAAATGGCTTATTTTGTCAGATAACCTCTAATATTTGAATTTTTTACATATTACAATCGATTCTTATTGAAATCAATATATTGTTTATATGTAATTATCACATTTTCATTTGTTTATGAATCATATTAAAATAATGTTTTAAATTCATCAATAAAATTGTATCCCTTGTTAATACTAACAAGGGATCCAATTTGGCGATAATGGTGCTAAATATAAAATGCAGTATTTATTAGTAAAATTTCTAAATTATTGTTTAGAGCAGTAGTGGACAACAGATTGTTTTTGTATAGCAAGAAGTAATGTTTAAGATTTACTCAAAACACTTATATCCCCAATTTCCAAAAGTCAAAGTTGAACAAACTTTACCTTCTCAGGGCAATAAATGATTAGCAGATTCCTGCTGTTCAAAGTAAGTCAACAAGTTGTGTTAAAACAATTATCTTTTCCAGGCAACATCGGGTTGCCTTGCTAGGTTTATTTTATATATGCATATTGTAGTCTCTATAAATGTAATCGATACAGTTATACGCAGAGAAATAATCGAGACAAAAGCGCGATGAATAAGAGAAAGGAAAATACTGTCAAAAAAAAAAACAAAAACAAAAAAAAAAACATCGCGTCTGAACTGATAAAGCGTATGTAGGTTCCACGTCATGCACCAAGGGGAACGATCGAGTTTTATTTATTTAAGAAAAAGAAAAAAAAAACTTTTGTTTGAAATTTTCTGAGAAAGAAAAAAAAAAGATATTTTTTGGCGTCAATCGTTTCGCGGAAATGTTGAAAAAGTGAACATCCTCCACTCACACACAGATTCAACACTACAGTCCATCCTACATATATATATATATATATATATATATGGGAATATATATTTTTTATCACTGACATAGAGTATAAGCAGCCGGTGCCTGTTCGACGGCGATACAACCCGTCAGGACAAAAAATGATATCCTTCATACACATCTTCCTTTATTCTATCATAGATATATTTTTTTTGTTCTTTTTTATTTCTCTCATTTGATTAATCTTTCTTTTTATAATATACAACCCCATTTCATGAACTCAAAAGAAATAACGGTTTCACAAAATTACCGCCAAATATTTTTCCAGCGCATATATGCCTTTCTTTTATGTGTGTGTTTATTTTGAATTGATTATATACATCATTTTACATATTGCTGACTATGTGGGCATAACTGACTCTGCACGTTGTTTTTTCACAATACGTTATCTGATTTTCGTCGTTAGCACACACACAGACATATATATATATATATATATATATATATATATATATATATATAAAGTCCGACTATTATCTTAAACCATTTGTATGTTTATACATTATTTTTATAGATACAAATATTTAAGTAAATGCTCTGTTTATAATAAACAGTGTTAACAACATTTACCGGCTTGAATGTACGATAAACTGTCATAGAAATCTGCATCCTCCGACAGGATTCGAACCTGTATCTTATACATATTTAATATATAATATTTGTACCTATATAAATGAATGTATAAACATAAAAATGTCTTAATATAATTGTCGGACTTTGTCCATTTCATAATGTGTGACGTTATTTGTTTACATTTGGATACGCATCGAGCAGATATTAATGTACGAGAGCAAATCATGGAGAATTGTAGTTAAAAACAGTAAAGTTGACCTTGCGAAACGAAACACTCCTCTGTGACGAAATCGGTAAATATGACGGTTCCGTATAGGATACAATTTCGATTCCTGTCGGAGGACGCATATTTTCTATGAGAATTTCTCGGACATTCAGGCCGGCAAATCTTGTTAATACTGTTTATTTATAAACAGAGCATTTTATTTTATCTATAAAAAAGGTTGTATAAACAT